CACAAGCACACAATCCACACATATTCACACACACATACATAATCATATCCTACTGGCACCCTAATCTTAAATACATTACAATATATTTGCTCAAAAGAAAGGGGTTGCAGTTCTTTACAAATCACAAGCAAATCCCTAGCTTTGCTCCTTTCCCCGTCCACCACTGGATCCTTCGCCTGGACCTAAAATATTGAAAAGAAAGGGGTGAGACAACCACAGTCTCAGTAACAGCGAATCTACATTGATTATTACAAAGTAAGCCATAATCAAATAAACGAATAATAAATTCAACATAGTATATAATTTAGCCATTTAAAATGCATGAATGCATGACCTAGGCCGGTATGGCCTTTCATGACCAACAGAATGCCCCCTGTCACTCTTTAACTCATAGGTAAACCTTATACCTACTTCTACCTCCACAGGCACAAAACATAATCTAAAGCATGATCGAATCCACCGAACCGCCTATGCCCCTTCGACGTGAATCCTGAGCAGTCAAAGCTAACTCCCTCCCAGAGCCAGCCCGACTTACTCTCCATGTGAGGGCTACCTTGGCCTAGGCACTCAACCTCACACTTCATATGTTGGATTCCCTCCCCCACTGAGAGGTGTCGAACACTCAATACACTAACCACTTTAGTGCACTGAGCCCACAATACGTAAGACAACACTGAGTACTGACAGTGTGCCATAGAATATCAAAAATACACACCTTCTCATTGGTGAACTCCCACCAAGATCATGCCTTTTACTCTTGTCTACCTTTCCTGAGTATTGACCATTCAACACTCTAAAGTAGTATAATATTTATAAATCTCATTTCCATAAAAACATTGTTATTAAACAATTAGAAAATATATTTGCACTATAATCAAAGTAGTACCCCATAACCCCTTATAAAGCATATTTAATCTTTTAAAACATGTAATGCATGATAACTAGTAATATTTATTCAAAAATAGCTAAAACAAAGTAATAAGAAATATAAATTCCCCTGTTACCTCAACCCTTTGGTATCAAAAGGGTTCCCCTTGTATAAAATAGGGCTCAGCTTGTTCCTTAATTTCTGAACAAATTCCACCAACAATTCCTACAACATATAAGTGATCCACATCACTTATCATGTCAAATAGCATTAATAAAGACTATAACTCATACCACACAACTTGGGTCTATGAGCCATAATCCATCCCAATGGTCCATATATTAAACCAACCATTCTCATAGTATCACTTAATCACCAAAACCATTTATTAGCCATCACTAGGCTAATTTCCAATTTATATAATTTTTTAATCAATTAGAAACCTTTACTTAGTGCCACCAACTTTCACCATTAGCCCTTATAATGAAAACCAAACCTTAATTTAAATCTTATTGGGTTCAAATAGTAAAATTATAACTAAATCAATAGGTTTAAACCATTGAGGAGCAAAAACCCAATTTCTCAGGGTTTATTTTGTGCCCCAAACACCTCTTTTCATCCAATTATCCACTCAAAACATTAGATCACTATATAGAAACTTAAAACATGCTCTCTAAGATCCAAAGAAACAAAAGCTTACAAGAATAAAGCCTTTGGGATCAAAATCCAAAAATTTTTTCTTCCAAAAATTGAAGAAAATTAAGAGAAAGAGAAGAGGATTGAAGTAGGGAGTTTACCTATCGTGTAGCCGAGCTCGCAACGGTCGCAAAGACCCCTAGATCCAAGCCTAACTCCCTCCCTTTCTCTTCTCTTCTTCCTCTCTCCCTCTCATGCGTTTCCTTTCCTTTCCTTTCCAATTCAGTTTCTGCGTTTCTGTATTAGTTTTGGTCTTTAAATTGCTGGTCAAAAAGTTTGGGGAAAATTACAAGAAAGGGCCCAACATTTTTTATCATTACACAAAAGCCCAGGTCAACTTTGGTAATTTTTTTCATAGTTAAAAATTAAATAAAACCAAACTTTTGCTTAGAAAAATTCAAACTCTGGGCCTCTATTAAATTATTTTAAATTTTAATTTAATTATAGATATTTTATTTTATTTTATTTTTATAAATCTGAGTCTTAAAATTTCGGGATGTTACAACGGCCCTTGTTGGCCCCCCTCCATCTATCACCGCTTGGACTTGAACTCCCATTAATGGACGATTTAACCCTAGACTCTATGAGTATGATTTTGGATTGTTGGGTGAAATTTAGGAATTATTTAAGTTAATGTAAGCTAAAAAGAGTAAATAAACCTAATGAGTAAGCCTAAATGCTAGACATAAGGGCTTTAGAATATTTAAAGTATTGAAATAGGAAGAGATTTTAAGTGGTGATATTGATTATTATGGACTTTATTAATTGTAAATGAATCATCCCGTGCATCGAATTGGGCTTGAGGTCAAGCTTTGAAAGTATTTATTGAGGGATAAACTTTTGATCACTCAAAGGTTTGAGATAATTAGGAGAATCTATTTTATGTAGTTATATGTTAATTAATTTGCATTGCTAAAATGATATGTGATTAGCAAGAATAGTTGAAATTTCCTATTTGTTGTTATGTAGCATGTTTTGAAGAACATAAATGAGGCTATGATGAGTTTTAAACTGTAACATGATGAATAAATGATGAAAATTACATGTTTAGTCATGATAATGATTGTGATATCTATGGAATATGTATGTGATGAAGCTGAAATTGTAACATGAGAATAAATAATTATATGTGTTGTTAGGAAAGCATGATATATATATATATATATATATAAGAAAAGTGGTGATATGCTATCATGAGCAATATGATGTGAATATGTGATGATGAAATGATGGGAAGTAGAATATATGATGTTATATGGTATGTGAGATTGTGATTATACACTCGTGTCCTTGGAAATGTATGTATAGATAAAAGTGATGATGTCTAATTTTGCCCTTAAAAGCATTGATTTAGCATCCTAAATTTTTTATCATAATTATGTCATCCTTAAAGTAATTGAATTGTAATAATATTAGCCCTTGACGTCAAATTTGTGTAAATGTTACCGTTAAGTTGAATGAAAGATGAAGGAGTTTGACTGAAAATTGCTTATATGTATGCATATATATAAAGGATTGGTTTAATGTCTGTCCATTACAAATATACAGTATCTTGTTTCTATTTACTCCCTTCAATAATATTCAATAGATACGTGGTTTAAAGATTTTAATGTTTCAAGCAAGGTTGTCAAACTTGTGAGTTGAAATAAACTCGTAAAAGTAATGTAAACTCAAATTGCAAACTTAAATTATAAACTTGTAAAAGTTTACCTCTATTAATAAATAATTATTAAAATATAACCATAATTTAATTTAAATATATTTAAAATATAAATTATTGAAAATATCAACATCGATAAATTATCATATATATAAAAAACATAAATTTTAAAATAGAAAAACTTATTTTGGTTATGTTTTATTAATATTAATTTTTGCATTTTAAATCTTTTTCTTAGAAACATGTCCTATAACTTTTATGAATTGAATTTTTCATAGTATTCACTTATATCTAGTAAACTTATATCCAATACGAGTTTATAAATTAGTTAACATAATTTTATAAGTTAAAAAACATAAAAACGGTAAATTTGAAAGTAACCTTATGATTTTAGCCAAGTTTGTATCTAATTCGAGTTTATAAGTGAGTTGATAAAATTTTATAAATTAAAAATGTTAAAATCAAAGAGCCAACTCAAAAATTTGATATCTATGATTTCAAGCGCTAGGAATATTTATTGTCTTTAGGGCCATATTAATACGGGAAACGCAACATTGAGCAGCATGCTTCTGAAAATGTTAACAAGGTACTCTAGTGAATTGTTTAATTGTTTTGTACTGGATGCGAATGGTGTCATAACGTAACCACTTTTTTTTGGCTGTAATGAAAATGATATTATGAGAAATATAATTATAACTATAGGAGTTACGAATTTAAGAGGATAAACTGCAAATATCTAAAATTGAATAAATAATCTCATAAAACTCGTGGTACATAGAGTTGTAGATCAAAGACAGTAACTTGCATATCTTAGAACTGAAAAAATAGTTTCTCAGAGAAAAAATCATAATGTTGAGATCATGTATTCATAAATAAAATTGGGATGCAAAATTGCAATTACAAATCAAGGTAAATAGAGTTGCAAATGTCAGAGAATAAGTTAAAAATCCCTAGAATTGACCAAATAAAATTCTATGTTAAAATCTTGTATGCTTAAACAAAATTTAAAAATTAAGTTGCAAACCAAGATAAATGGAGTTACAAATCAAAGAGAATAAGTTGCAAATTTTTGGAATTAAACAAATAACTTCTCATAAGAAAAATCAATATTGAGATTTTGAGTTCATAAAAAAAAATAGGAATGAGTTACAAATCAAAAATAGAAAGTTGCAAATCCATAAAGTTGAATAAATAATATAATAAAATTCAATATTAAAATTGTGTTCTTAAATAAAATTCGGTAATTGAATTGCAAATCACAGTAAAAGAAATTGTAAATCCAAGAAAGTGGATTGTAAATTTCTAATTTAATGTGTTATAATTACTAAGATATTTGAGTCTTTTTCAATATGTAAGAAGATCAACTAAGGACTTATGGGACTCACTTTATATTTTTAAATTTATTGAGATTTTAGCAAAAATAAAATGATCCATTGAGATTAAAGTGTCATCATCCCTTTTATTAAAGCTGATTTTTTAGTTTTCTCTCTGTTTTTCAAATTTTATCACATCTCAAATCTCAAAAAAGCTAATCTCTCTCTATCATACACGTTTCATCTCAATGTTTCAATTGTTAAATAAATAAATAAAAAAACAAAATTGACCAAAACAAGAATTAACATTTAATTCGGATGAACTTTAGAAAGTGACTCCCAAACTTGCTGAATAAAAAGTAACATATTTTCCCTCCTTTTTTCTCTGATTATATTATATGTTTTGTTTATCTTTATGATAGCCACAGAAGCAACTAAATCTGAAAAGAAGGGGGAAGTCCAATAAATAAAATAATTAAATAGAGCAAAACAGCTGGTTGCAAACCTGTACAATATTACACACACATACAAAGAAAAAGCATATGTTCTTGATAGCAAATGACTCATAATACAAGTATTCAAACCATCTTTACCAAGTTTAACACTAAATATTTATGCTGGCAGCTGTATTGCTTCCATCTTTCCAAGTTTTGCCCAATCTCATGATTGGCAATTATACCTCTCTAACAAAACATTCAATGATGGAAAATATGGTGACCACCATGAGATAGACAATGACCACCGTATGCGGCAGCCATAGCCGCTGCGGCTCCTGTGCCATGACCACACGCTCCCCTACCACGGCCACAAGCTGTGTGTCAAGAAAATAATGAAATTACATCAATGCATATTGCAATTGTATCCCATACCATCATACAAGGGATGTGCTTTAAAAAAAAAACAGAGAGTAGCACAGTAAAATGAGACTGTACAAGACTCATTTGTATTGTTTTTAAAAACCCTTATATAATCTTCTTTTTTCTTTATCTCATTTTGACTGCTTTGCATGCAGCCAAGTTTTAGCAATATTTTGCCCTGGATAACTTCTCTTAAACATATCACATGATGGGTAATGAAAAATTTTTTTTCTTTTGGGAGAATATCAATAAAGGGCTTTTTTACCAAAATGCTGCATACAGTAAAAAAAAATTCCTAAAATGCTGCAGAGTGGAAAGCATTTCCCAAAATATTACACCAAAAATCGTTCATGGAAAGAATGATTTTGAGGTTCTGAAGAAGTCATTCTTGCCTGGAACGATTTTAAAGTGAGAAATTATTTTTTTATTACATTAAAAGTAAAATCATTTACTACTTGAACGATTTTAGTTTATTTTGCTGATTTGACATTTTATTTTCAGTCCTTATATTTTTTAACACATTATCATTTTGTGAAAATCTTCAGCAAAATGCATATTCACGCAAGAATAAAAAATTCATGCATAGTGGCTATAAAAAGGTTTGAAAACATGAAGATGCAGTAGCAAAATTGAAGTCAGATAGTGTAAAGCTAGTTTTTTCACTGACATACTATACAATATAAAAAAAACTAAAATATTACACAAAATGCTACATTTAAAATCGTGTAGAGGGAGAACAATTTTTAAAATTCATCACCATAAGAATGATTTCTTCAATGTATCAATTCAATTCCAGGAACGATTTATGAATTTTAGCTACACTTTACAATTGCAATAATAATTTAGTAATCATTTGAATGAAAATGATATATAATAATTGGTTCTAATATGATTAAGGAATTATTATGAGGTGTGTTAAATTAAAAATTATTAATAATAAATAAATAAATATTAGGTTTTATGAAAATTAATAATGAATAGTTAAGTTATATGAATAAAAAGTGAAAATTAATTTACCTCACAAATAATGACTTTTGATGTCACATCTTATTCTCCTTCTAATACGTTTAACAACAATGACCACATGGGATACAACAAGAACAATGTAATAATTATTTATTTATTATTAATAATTTTTAATTTAATACACCTCATAATAATTCCTCAATCATATTAGAACCAATTATTATTTATCATTTTAATTCAAATGATTACTAAATTATTATTGCAATTGTAAGGTGCAGCTGAAGTTCATAAATCGTTCTTGGAACTAAATTGATACATTGAAAAAATTATTCTTACGGTGATAAATTTTAAAAATTGTTCTCCCCCTACACGATTTTAAATGTAGCATTTTGTGTAATATTTTAGTATTTTTTTTATATATTGTATGGCATGTCAGTGAAAAAACTAACTTAGCACTATCTGACTTCAACTTTGCTACCACATTTTCATGTTTTCAGATCTTTTTATAGCCACTATGCATGAATTTTTTATTCTCGCATGAACATGCATTATGCTGAAGATTTTTACAAAATGATAACATGTTAAAAGAATGCAAGGACTGAGAATAAAATGTCAAATTAACAATAATAAATTGAAATTGTTTAGGCAGTGAACAATTTCACTTTTAATGCAATAAGAAAATAATTTCTCACTCTAAAATTGTTCCACGCAAGAACGACTTCTTCAAAACCTCAAAATCATTCTTCCCATGAGCAATTTTTGGTGTCATATTTTGGAAAATACTTTCCACGCTGCAGCATTTCAAGAATTTTTTTTTACTTTATGCAGCATTTTGGTAAAAAAGCCTCAATAAAGGATTTTGGAAGAAACGTAATTTCTTAAAAAAAGATTTTTTACAAGTAAACATTAACAAATTAATCAGTGAAGTTATTGTTTTAACATACAAGTATTCAATTTGTCCAAGATCCTTGTAATATATTAAATTCTTTCAGGAATCCTTTATTGATAGGCTACTAAATAAAGTTAGTTATGTGGATTGCACAATATCATCAAAATACTCTATCACGAACTAACCGTTCGGGAATACTACAATTAGTGATAAACAAGAGATGCACACCTGCAGGGTATGGAGCTGGATGACAACATGACGCTGGATAAGCCAATAGATATCCAGAAGGAGGATAACAGGCAGGTGGATACTGACCTACCGGAAGGTAACCGGCCGGAGGATATCCCGTCGGCGGGTAGGCAAGTGGTGGATAGCCGCCTGGAGGTGGATATTGTGCTTCTGGATATGATACAGCAGGTGGAGGAGGATATGGATATGAAGGATAACCATGTAGATTCGGGAACAGGCCTTTATCCTTGTCATTTTCACTGCCCATGGCTTCAACTTAAAATTAATTATGTTAAAATCTGCAATAGAATGCATTGTTAGTTCAAAAACTGAAATAACCCAAGTATATAAATTAATTAATTAATTAACTAATTAAAATTTTATAATAAAATATTTAAGTGTATATTTTTTTGTATATAAAATTTTGGGATAATTATAACAAAGTGAATGGTAGCTTGGTGGGAATAGTTGTGTCTCTCTATTAGCAGCTTTAGAGTTCAATATGGTTGATGCCAAATAACTTAACTTATTTTTGTTTTACCATTATAAATTACAAAAGAAAATGCCTTAATAAAAGTGAGTAAACACACGCATGGGCAGCAAACATTTATTCTGTTCCTTCCCGTTCTTTCATATTCTCGAATTTCAACAATCAGAGAGAGGGAACGCACGAGAGAAAAACCCACGTCCTACCCTCCTTTCTTCCTTTTTCCTCTTCTGATCATTTCTGTCAATTGCCGGTGACCGTGTTGCGACCGTCGCTGCCGTGGAGGTCCGTTTGTGTAGTCTTTTTCCTCCCCATATTTCTCGTCGTCGGTCTTCTCCTCTTCCCTCTTCAGTCGCTATAGTAACGTACTGAGTCATCCTTGTCTTAGTGGTTCAGCACTGATCTTCCTCTTGCCCTTAGTTTGATCGGGTGTGGGTATGCTTGAAATCTCTTCTTGTTTTTTCCCCCTTCTGCTGCTGTCCATCCGTGTGTGTGAGTGTATTGTTTGGGTTGTTAAAAAATTGAATCTTTCTCCTATTCTTGTTGATGTATGAAATGGAAAGTAGATGGAATTTAAACGAGTTGGAACTTAAAATTTAAAGGGTGCGTTTTGGTAGATAATTTCACTTAAGTTATTTTGATTAATGTAAGAGGAAGGAAGTGGGTATAAAATCTATCTTTTTTTGAGCTTAATTTGATTTTGATAGGGTCATTAGAAGAAGAGAAAACTGAATTGAAACTATAAGAAAGAAATTTTGGCACTGGATGATATACCAAGTAAGTAAATAATATTCCCCAACAAATAGAAGTAATAATCTTTCTCTTACATTTATTTATTTATTTACTTTCATTGTTCTAAACATATTTTAATTGTATCTTATGATTAAGCTGATTTATATGTAATTAGTTTATTTATTATATAACTTTAATTATGTAGTTATTCTCATGGTATTTTATTTTTCTTAAAAATATTATACATGCGAGGATCAAATAAATTATAGATTAAAAAAAAGTTATTTACACTTTATGACTAAAGAAAAATTTTGAACTATAAGAATTTCTGAGTTCCGTGCATGGTATAAATGTTTTATAGGACTAAATACAGAACACTAATTGCTAATGATAATTTCATTAGCTCTTGGCACACCATGGCATATCTAGCTAGGGTACATTAGAGGTGCTAGCCCCATGTGTCGGCCAACACACGTGAAAGAAATGATGTAATTTTGTGAATATAATCCACATTTGTTATTCATGAACTTTATGATTGTGCTTGTTTTTCATGGCTTTTAGCCATATTAGATGTTATTAGCCTCGTGGATTGTGTATTCACACCTGTTATTTGTTCTATTTAGGCCCTAATAGAAAACAAGTTTTTGAAGTTGTATTTTTGCTCTTAAGAATTGTATTTTTATGTTTTGTTTTATATAAAAGAAAAATTCCTAATTTGTTAATTATGATTCTCTATTTTCTCTTTTCTATTTTTGTAACTCAATTATCAAAGATAAATTGTGCTATTATTTTCTAATACCATCGATAATTAAATTAGTTTTTTGTTTTCTATTGTATATGTTTATGATTATCATTTTTATTTATTAGTATTATTGGAGACGTTATTTACTAGAAGAATTTTTTATATTTAGATAGTAGAAGTGGATATGCTCTTCAATAGACCTCGTGGGACTCCTTGAGACCAGAAATATTTTGTTACTCCAATTACATTGTGGATTAATGTAAACATTTAAGTACTTTGTTTTGTTATAGAGTCACTGCACGAATCATGTAGGCAGAATTCTTGCTTAAAGTATTTTGGTTTGTATGTATATATATACATACTATATCAGAGCAAAACTCTAAATGCTACTTAGATGTCCTTTGTAGCAGATTGTAAAAATTTTGGAAAGTCTAACTTATAGTAGAGATTCTATCAAAATTTTTACAAGTTTAAATGTTTTGTTCTTCTTAAGGATTGCTTATTATAAATAATGATTGTATGATAAAATTGAATTAATATGTTAGATGTGTTAAGGGTTTAAGCTTATGGAATATGAGTTTTTTGATATTCTAGCTTATCACACTTCAAAAGTTCGGGGTTGACAAAAACTATTCAAATAATAGAACATTACTTATTTTATACTTGTAATTCAGGTGCACCTCAAAGAGTTAAAATAATAAGAACTAAGTTACAATTGAATCAAAACTAAAAAAGTTAAGTTACAACAATTTAAAGTTCAATAATTAAATTATAATTAAGTCAAAATTATAAGACAAATAATTAATTTTTCCAAAAAAAATTATTATAAATCTTCTCAAGCTAAGAGGGAAAAAAGTTGGAAAAGAATCGAACTAGAAATAACTATCTGCTGCAATCCCAAGAACATGACTTATCACATTCATTGAAAGTTAAGGGGAAATAAAAGACCACGAAGTAGAAATGAGATGCATAAGATCTAATCCCAATCAATTGCTTAAAGTTCGTGAGGGTAATCTTCATTCTTCAACTGTGGCAATTTTTTTTTTTTTGAGTTTTAATATGTATGATATTTTCAATACTAGAAACAATTATCAATCAACTATGGAAAACAAAATAGCAATATGTATTATAGTGAATAGCTTCATTGGTCAAATATTTAGAAAGAGAAAAGAAATTTATTTTCATAAGGAAAATCAACACCAGCAATCGATCTTTCTTTTTATGATTTTTAGGCTAGGGTTGCATAAAGGATAGACAATACATGACTTCGGTCTAACTTAAAATTTAATTTTTTTTATAAAAAAGATTGAATTAAACAACCCATAGTCTAGTCTAATATAGATGTAACCTGAAATTAAACAAGACCAAACTTGAACCCTAGGATTGAAAGACTAATTTCAACAGTCTAGTACCTCATTTTGGTTTTTTTTTTTCTTTTTTCCTTTATGAGAGGCAACAATTCATTTCAACATGATAAACTCAATTAGATAATTGCTTATAATCATATAAAAATTATCACAAAACATTAAAAGCTAACCATAATAAATCCATAACAATCTCCAATAACAATCTAAAAGATTCAAATTCATAATAACATTTAACAAACTTCAATAATATGTTCAAATTACATTACAACAAGATAACAATATATTCCAACCAATCTTCATGCAATCATTTCCTCCAACATCAATTGAATTAACTCTTTTAAAAATAATTATAATTATATTAAAGTAATTTTGTAGGACTAGATTAGAACAAGTAGTTTAAAAGCTGGAGACCCTATCCAATTCAATCCAAAGATGAAATCTAGTCTCGTTGGTCTTTTTAATCTTTTGGGTCAATTTTTTTAGGATCAAACTAGACTAAGTTTGTCAGAGTTGATCTGGATTATACCAGACTAGAGTACTTATGCAAAAGAATCAACAACATACATAGACAAAAAACAAAATGGATGGTGCCCCGTCATACTGCTATGAACAAAATTATATGCCTGTCCAACGGCAAAATGTGATAGAATAATCATCTTTATGAATGAAAAACAAGGAAATAATCCTTTAAAGATATGATGAAAGAATAATCTAAGTAAAAATTAGCAGTAATTTTATTTATATAATATGCAACTCATTAAAATTTTATCAACTCAGCAATAAAATTGAATAAAGTTATGTATACATCTAGTTCCTGTAAGTCACAATAAGGACTAACATTGTAAATATATAAAACTTAATAAACTTGAAGGAATGAAAAAAATATAGAAACTATTATAGGGACAAATAAGGTTCCTTTTCTTCTCCTGAATATTCAATTTCATTTTTGCTTCTCCAAAAATGAGGGGAAATTTAAAACATGTAAACCCGTAATGGGTCAGTCGAAGTTAAAACTAAAGAGAAAGGGGAAAAAATTAAGCACTGTGATTATATAAAATAAAATATAGAAATTCCGATACCTTTCAAGAAAGGGGAAAGAGGGATGGTGACTCTCGTGAAGCCAGAATGAAACCAACAAGCTCTGATAGTGATACACAGCTTCAATATAAATAAGCAAATACAAAATCGGTGGCTTAATGTAGTACTCAATTAATAGATTAATGACAGAAACTTAAAGAGTACCAATCCAATTGAAACTTTGCCTTCTCTCTGATCGTTGGATCATTTTAGAAACAGGCTTCGATTCCACCGTTTCTAGCTTTTTTGAAAACAACATAACTTTAGATCCATACATTTTGCTTATATTTTGCTATCGATCTCTGTACTTTTTTTTAATATTTTAAGTTTCTATATTTTGGCTTTTCAATGTTTTAGGTTTCTACACTTTGTTCATAGAGGACCTAAAACATTGAAAAATAAAAGTGTGAGAACATAAAATATATAAAAAAGTGCAAGGACCAATTGAAAAACACAAGCAAAATGTAGAGATTCAAAGTTATATTTTTTTCAACTTTTTTTATCATCATATACAATAATACAATGCAAAGAACATACCATAATATTTAAAATGGCCGTTGCTGTTGAAAAAGTATTTTGATTGATTTGATTAAATGCTTTGTTTATAATTAATTTGATTACTGTAATTTTGATTTTTAATTTTTTAAAGTAGTGTATTGACCCATTTAATAAAGGGTACGATTTTCAATGACATTGAGAATGAGGTTTGGCTTGATAGGTGAGTTTGGGTGCAAATGAAAGTTGAGATTAATTATTTTAATATAGTAATAAATAAAAAAATTGAAATTATTTTGTAAATTAATAAGTAATAATACATCCTCTATTTATATCAAATTAATATAGTAATAAGTTGAGATTCTTTTTTTATAAGCGAAACAACAAATTTCAAGAAGCATTTATTATATTTATATCAAATTGTCCATCATAAATAAACAGTATCATTAAATTTTAAAATAAAAATTAATTATAAGGGCACTTTAGTCCAAATTTCTTAATTTCATACATAATTATTAGAACTAACTAAGTTTTTTGAACTTTGTGAATTAATTAAAATTTACTTATATTTGAGAACGGATGGAGTATTAATTAACTAATAGCAATATCTTCTATATTATATTATTCCTTCTATCCCACATCATAAGACACTTTGAATAGATATTCGGCATTTTAAAATATAAGACACTTTAAAAATTTTAAATTTTATTAAATATGCTTATTTAAATATTACCATTTCCCTCTCTATTTAATTTTTGTTCCTTTCTCTTTAATCAATAAATTAAATGAAAGTTATTTTTAAAAGTTTATATTTTTTATTTTGAAAAAATAAAGTTATTAAATATATTTAATGACGTTTATTAGTATGTGAGATTTTATTCAAAAGTATCTTATAATTTAGGATCGAGTTAGTATAAAATATAAATTTTATAAAATCTTACTATTTATAAAATATAAACGGGATGTCTTGTCTTGAACCATGCAAACAACAAGGCACAGGTGTATCTCTTTAATTTATTTTTATGTTATAAATATAATACCAAAAATGTCAAATTAAATACAAGGGGTTAATTTAAAAACAAATTTTAGTGAAGTTTAGACAAAAACATATTAAATTGTTGTTGATTGTTAGTTTGTACTCCCTCTATTCAAAAATATAAAGTATCTTTTAAAGAATTGAATGTTTAAAAATGTAAGGCATTTTTAATTTTTTATGGTGTAATTATTGGCTTTTTTCAAAAGTGTCCTTATTGATAATGACTTTTTATTTATTGTAAGGTATTTAATAAGGATAAATATAAAAAGACAAGGTTAGTTTAAAAATAGATAATTACTTTATTGAGAGGTAAAATTTAATTAAAAATACTTTAAACAGATGAAGTATTTACTTTTTAGATCTGTGTTGGTTTTCGTTTGTATCTGGTTGCAAACTTGCAATTAGTTGGTCCTCTTGCTTGTGACCTAACTTGCATCGTAAGTGTAGTAGTTGAGTCATTTGGCGGTGTACTAACTTTTTTGTATTTTTATATATAAACGTAAAACGTTTTTACCAAAAATATTAAATTATAATTTTTTATTAATTATCAAACCAAAAAATATGTTTGATTATATTAATTTAAAAATAATTTTAGAATTAAAAAATTCAACCGATAGTGGTCACCCATAATTAATAGTGGTGGCTTATAATAGTAATTAATCACAGCTGGTAGTAGTTTCTAATAATCAAATATAATATACTTTCAAAACAAAAAATATGTCATTTTTTTGAAAATAAAAAATAAAAGCAATTTTGAAACAATTTACATTGAAAATACTTACCAAAATAATTTTTAAATATTTTTTTAAAAATAAAACAAGCCTTTTTTAATTAGGGTTAACTCTAAGTCTTTTTTCATACTGTTTATCATTTTGTTATAATTGTTGGCGATAATTTCGCCAAGTACATTGATTTTAAATTCTGGGAGTGCAATATTGAATTAGATTCGTATACCATCCCAAAAGAATAATTTTTATAAAATAAAGCATATTTTTTCTATTATATAAAAGATTTAATTTCTTGCACGAAATGACGAAACATGTACACATACGAAAACCACATGCGCTGACTGATTCTTGAATGGAGCAGACAAGTTTAAAAGTCATAGTTTTCCCTCTTCTATGGATTTCTTGGATCCAAATCCTCTCAGCGGCGTCTCCCTCAGCATCTCTCCGCATCCCAAATTCCGTCCTTTCAATAAATATCTAAGGTCTCATATTTTGTTACATCATTTCATAGAAAATAATTTTATTTTTATTTCATTTTCTATTTTCAAAACTTATTCTAAAATATTTCTCTAGATTTTTATAAAGGAATTTATAGTCTAGTTTATTCATACTCTAACTTGGCTAATTTAATAAAAATTTGCTTAAAAAAAATCTATAGAGTAAGTTAGACTCTAAACATGTACTTATAGTCTAGCTTATTTAAGTTTTGATATGATCTATTTAATAAAAATATATTTAAAAATGATAGAGTAAGTTAGACTGTAAGCAAATACTTATAGTCTGATTTATTCAAACTGTGGCCTGATCTATTTAATAAAAATTTATTTCAAAAATTTAAAGAGAAATATTTTAGAATAAGTTTTGAAAATAGAAAATGAAATAAAAAATAAAATTATAAGAAAAGGAAAATGAAGGAGACGCAAATTTTCTCTACTAGAGAATGATCTAGAGGAGGATTTAAGAAGTTTTGAAACTCTAAATCATCCAAGGTAAGATTCCTAAATTCTTTTTCTCCTTTACTCCATTTTTTCAAGGATTTAAGCTAGGATTTAGATGAGGATAGTGATTTCGGTCCATAGAGGGTATGGGTTCGAATATATTGACTTAAATGGAGTTAATGAGAGTTATTTAGAGTTGTTTCGAGTATTTAAACCTAATATAAATGATTTTGGCGATTGTTGAAGGGAGAGCTCCATTAATGCCTGAAATTTGCATTTATATGGGTGGTTGGAAGAGTGTGATGCCATTAATAAAAGTTTAATGGTTCATTAATGTTATTGGAGACTAAAGAGGGATAATAAACCTAATGGATAGGCTGAAACTCATGTAGAGTGAATATTGGACAATTTAGAAGTAGAGGATTGAGGGTTTAAATACTTGAGTTAGTCATGTTGATGAAATTCAACTTGGTTGATTGTAGTTTTTAGCTCTTGGATACCTATTTGGCTTGGAATTCAAGTTTGGAGATTAAAACATTAAGGGGTAAATCTTTGACCTCTCAAAGGTTTAAGGTAACTAAGAGAATCCTACTTTAGATAGTTATGTGTTAATTGTAATGTGGATACTGATTATGTGTTTAAAATGAAAATGTTGACTTGTGAATGAATGCATCATGCAATGAACACCTCATATTTATCCAATCACTTTGATATGTGTAAGCATGCTAAAGAGATTTCTAAAGGAGTTTTAAATTGCAAAAGTGAAAATTGATACAAGTTGTATGTTTATAATGTACTCTAAATAAGTGGTTGATAATGGCTTTGATAAAGATAAGCATTGTGATTAAAAAGGGTGTGTTGATGTGTTATAATTGAAAATGAGAAATTATACTCACTTGGGTAGTGTACGATCATGAACCCAATGTAAGAATGTGATAAACAATAAATGAAATGTGAAAAATAAGTGAGTATGTTTATGGCATGATCAGTGGTGGGAGTTCGCCTCGGGATTGGGAGTAGAAAAAAATCTATATGGTATTTAGGCTGCCCTCTAGTGCACGGGGGTACAGCCTTGTCCCACAGTTTGTCAAGGGATTGTCCCAAAGTTTGTCGAGGGACAAGAACTTAGCTATCTCCACATGTTCAATAAGGAGAATAGTCTAGGGCGTAAGAAACCCTAGAGATTTGAAGCTGTGGTCTGAGAGTAAGTCATGTAATTTTTGACCAGGTCACACCTTACAATTGATGAACTTAGGTAGTCCAGTCACACGAACGAAGCCCTAATCAGTGTTATAGCCCACGGTTTCGGTCTGAGAAAATAAAGAGGGTATAAGGTTGGTTGATTATTTTCTAAATAAATATATGACGTGTTACACCTATTAAGTTGTGGCAAATCGTGTGAATAATGGGTCATGGTTACATATTTGAGAATACGGTGACAATGCACCTAGTTATGTGAGATAAAGAAGTTATTAAATGAGAAATGATGAGTTATGATATGTGTGAGTATGTATTAAGTGCTTGGTTTCATATGCATGTGCTTAGCGTATAATTGATATATAACTGCATAGGGTAAGTTTTACCTTAGTTATTGAGTGGCTAGACTCACCCCTTTCATTTAACACTTTTCAGGCTCTAGCTCTGGTGATGAGAGGAAGAAGGCTCAAAAGGTTAAGAATTAGCATATTCTTTTTTTATACCTCTAGCTTAGTTTATTTTGTATAATAGTATATATTTGCAATTCTAGGTTGCATGTCATCTCACTTGCACTATTTTATTGTTAAAAATGTTTGATTTGTATTTTAGGCCCTGAATATTTATGTTATGTTGAGATATATATGTTTATAGGGCCAAAATACTAGAGCAAATGTAGAAATAATGATTTAAATATGTTT